AACTTCTTCTTGGTACAACCCTCATCCACATACACTCTTATGGGCCGTACAAATTCTTCTTCTTCTTAGGCCACTCACTTAAGGCGGCGTGTATGTGGGAATTTCTTCTTCTTGTCACCCACGGGTTCCCCATTGCAACAACCTATTCTTTTCTCTTCTTTAGCACTTTTCTTTCTTTTATTTACTTATTGCTTTTCTTTATTTCTCTTTATTCTTTCTTTAAACTCTTATACATATGCCAATATATGCATGTGGATGGCTCATGCTTATAATCCTTTCTAAGTGCAAACATGTAATGCAAATATGTAATGTTGCACAAATTAAGGTTTTCTCTACTCATATATGCACTTCTCTTAGGCATTTCATCAAACAACATGCATGCATACCCAAATACTATCTTTGGTCAATTTCTACTTCTTTCTTAACCATCCATTCTTGGAGTAAAACTCCTCTATAACAAAGTTAAACCTAGCTAGGAAACACACTTCAAATATTCTACTCAAATTCTTTCTAAATTCAACCAAACTACACTTGGTCACCATAATATCAACTCCACTTCTCATGGCTTAAATCTACTCATCAAAACTATCATTCTCAATAATCAATCTCAGAATTATAAGCATATACATGCATATAAAATCTCTACACAAATTGATTACTTGAAGCTTAGCTTGAGTTGGATTTACTTACCTTATGCTTGAGTAAGTCCACAAGAACCTCTCTATCTTTGGTAGACTTGTTCTTTCTCTCAAACCCTAAGCATAAACTTTATAATAATTCAACACTTACACAAATGAATCTCATATTTATAATAAGAATCCTTACCTTTTGATGCTTAGGATCAAATCTCTATCAAAATCCAACCAAAAGCCCTTAAATCTTACTTGGGAATTTGATGAAAAGATGAGAGAAATGGAGAGTGGAAGTGGTGTGTGGGGTGTAGAGAATGGGAGGGTTTGTAAAACTTAACCCTTAATATCTCATATAAATACACATTCTTTTCCATTTTGCCCTTACAATTTCTTGGAAATCCATCTTTGTCCTTTAATTCTTTACAAATACACCCCCATTTCCAATGCATTCTCTATGAAATTTTCTTACTTTTCACTCCCCACTTTTCCTACTAATTAGGGGTAGAATGGTCACTTTACCCCTATGGAAAAATCTTCTAGAAACTTTCTAAGAAATTCAGCCAGCTCTTCGCCTCGATGAAAAATTACAGAGCGTACATCACCGCGGCGAGGCTTATTCTTCGCCCCGACAAAGTCTATACTTCTCTAATTTCGCCAATCCTTCACCAAATTCAGGACAACCAAGCAATATTCATAATATACAAACTTAACCAAGGACAAACGAACAACATTAAGGGCCAATAAGTATATATAAATGACATACCTCAAAGTGGGCGTTACACCAACGAGTGCTCACTACAAAAAGGTCAAACACACAAGGGTTTACTATTACTCTCTCTCTCTCTCTCTCTCTCTCTCTCTCTCTCTCTCTCTCTCTCTCTCTCTCTCTCTCTCTCTCTCTCTCTATATATATATATATATATATAAGTGAACTTTTATATGAGACTATAAGTTTTAACCTTTTGGTATTTGGTATATATATATATATATATATATATATATATAAAAGTGAACTTTTATATGAGACTATAAGTTTTAACCTTTTGGTATTTGGTTTTTATAGTAATCTTAAGGATAAGATTACTATAAAAACCAAATACCAAAAGGTTAAAACTTATAGTCTCATATAAAAGTTCGCTTAAAAATTTGTTTGGTTGGACTTATTTATTGGTCGAAATAGTTTATTTAAAGTTAAAAGAACTTTTGAAATTCTTTTACGTTGTTTCTTTACATGTCAAAAGTTTTTTTTTTTTTTTTTGGTTGAAATTAAATGTTCTTTTTCATTTTTCTGGCCAAACAACTAGCAATTTTTTTTATCAGAAGCTACATACTAATAAGCTATACTTATATAAAATGCATTCAAAGAAGCCGTACTAAATGACCTAACTTGTTTTTGTGAATGCTTTTTGAGTCTACCCGTCTAGACCCTAAACATAGCCTAAGATTTGGCCAACAAAACTTTGATTGGCCAACTTACATTGATAATTTTGGGGCATTTTATTAAAAGACCATGTCAAGTTTAAATTTAATTAAAAGGTTATGAAGTTTTAAAGTGTTAACTAAATAGCTTTATTATTGATTAAGGGTAATTAAATATGATTAGTGCTTAATTAGGATTAATGAAGTATTGTGTAATCTTTTAAAAATTATACTATGTTCTCAAAAACCTGAAATTCTTGCAAACAAACCTAAACACCTTCTTCTTCCTCTCGCCATTAACGCATCTCTACCATGGTTGCTGTTTCTTCTTAGCCTCGTCTACATCTTCTTCTTCCTCTGCATCTTCTTCTTCATCTACATCTTCTTCTTCCTCCTTCCTCTACATCTTCTTCTTTCTCATTCCTCTATATCTTCTTGTTCCTCCGCCATTAACACTTTCTTCTTTATCCACCATTAACATCTTCTCCGCCAAAGATCCGCCTCCTCCTCCTTCTGATATTTCGTCTAAGTATGTGTATCTCCTCTTTATATTTTATATTTAGATTTACAAAGATTTAATAATTGATGGGGTTTGGGTTATGATTTTGATTTAGTTATTTAGGTTGTTGGGTTATGTTTGATGTAATGCAAGTTGAAAGGAGTGAAATTTGTTGAATATTTTCTTACATTGTGGGTAGCTAGAGGTGATATCACCGATTAGGGGTGTTCAAAAGAACCTGTTGGAACCGGAACCGGAACCGGCGGGTACCCGAGGTTTGGTTCCGGTTCCTTCCCAGAACCGACTATCAACGGGTAGGTTCTGGTTCCAAATTTTTGGAATCGTTACTATGCGGTTCCGATTCCGGTTCCTATAGTTAGGAACCGGAACTAGAACCAGGAACCAGGAACCGAGACTAATATAAAATAAAATTAAAGATTAGGGGGATTAATAAAAACTTTTGTAGAAAAAATAATGTGAATACATTTATATTAAATTAGATATTATTATTCTAATTAAACATTAAATTATTATTAATTTAACAACTTGGGAAAATGAGTCTAAATGATATTAGTATTTTGTATACAAATAGAATAAACATGAGAGGAATACTTTTTGAAATTGTTTGTAAATATTTATGTTGCACTAACAATTGAAATTTTGTATTCTGCCAAAAAACATGTTGCTAAAAATAGATATGAATATCTACTTTGTGTTAGTTAGTAATAAATATTACATGATAATATTTAAAAACACAAGAAAAAGAAGAAAAGAACAAAAATTTTCTCAAAATCTCAATTTTTTCTTTCTAGAGCTTTGATATCTCTTACCAACAGCTGAAGGTTCATCAATAATATTTTCTGCCTGTTCACTGTATTCTGGCTCTTGGTGTTCTATTCCTTCACCCTTTTCTTTACTTATGTTTGAGGTACTAAATTAGAAGATTGCATTGTTGTTGTTCTTCGACAGATGATTCGGTAGTTGATGTTTTGTTAGTAATTTTTGGTGTTAAAGCCTAATGTTGAATCACATTTGCTGTTGACAAATCCTTTCCATCTTACTCTTCAACTGCTTGTAGTTTTTGTATAAACTATTAATAGCATGTTAATGTCAAGCAACTATTGCTATCATTTGAATTTTTAAAAATGTGTTATTAAAATAAAAAATAAAATATATTGACCTCTTCCAATTGCTGTAGCTTGTAATCATTTTCTACTTCATCATTGACTGGAAAAAATTTTAATACAGTATAAGACTCATATCCTTGTTTCAAATCAGTTTCTGACAGCTTAATTTTGAAAACAAAAGTCTTTCCACAAAAAGCATTTACAACATCTAGAATTCTTTTATAATTGGGAACATGGCAATCCAACCAATTTCTGGCATACTGAATCAAACATTATAAAAGCCGCTTCAACAGTGCCATCTATGACTGCAATATCAACTTTATACCTGTTATAACAAAAAATATTCATTAATAAATATCAAATATTAACGTTATAATGCATTGTCTTACAACAATTATTTAATTTTCAATAAAAAATTGATTCACCCCATTTGTGGAAATTTTGTCTCCTTGTTGCATTTAACACAGTAGAAATTGCTGTTGTTCATATCAAGAATTTTCTTCTTACAAACACTGGAAGATAAGTAACACCAACCAAATCTGCCATTGACTCCAAATAATTTTGCCTATGTAATCCGATCCCAGTTATACCACATAAGGCTGGTAAGATATTTCAAAGATACTCTATTTTGAAACATCTCCTCCTCAACCGATATCTCATTTAGCTTTCTCTTTTGCAATTTAACAACTGAAATATTTTCATTACTACAAATTGTACAGCAAATGAGACATAAATTGTATAATTATTTCTTAAAATATTTGCAAAAAATGCTGCTAAAACACATACTTTCTCTACAAATGATGGACCTCGTCAATTTCCAGATTTATATAGATTCTTGATCCTAAAGTACTATTAAGATATATCTTCCTTGTACATTTAAAATCACGAATTATTAAACCATAAATTTCTATCCAATATCAAAAGCCTAAAATATCTTGAAACTCTTTAACGTTTGTTGATGTGATAGTTATGACAACTGATTTGTCATCTCCCATTAGCAAGCTCTCATCAATTTTTTTCGAAATTTCTTCCCATAATGAAACTCTAAATGTCTCCCTGAAAATAACATTGATGTAAGATAATCAAATTGTACCACATTATTACGATATTCAGAAAAGAACTTAATGTTCAATCTGCAAAATGGTATCTTGTTCATAACTGTTTGTCAATACGATTTTTTCGATCTCACCTACTCCATTCAAAATACCTATAACATCTGCAAACCATTTAGTGTATTTAGAATTACAGTAGATAATATAGATGTACAACGTGAATAGTAATAAAAGGTTTACCTGATAACAAAGATGTGTCATTTTTTCTATTCTACAAATCATTGATACTAGCAAATTGAAATGTAAACTCTGGAATAGCAACTGTTACTTCCTTGATCTCCTCGATGGAAGTATTCATGAGAAATTGTAAACGATAAGCACCTTCAACAGGCTTGTAAGTAGCAGCACATGGTATGACCTTCACATTTTTAATCAGATATATATGGTCTTCATGAATTTGGTTCTTAAATTTTACAACTCTATTTTTTGGTATATTCCAATGCATCACATCATGCTATAAAACAATTACAAATAAAAAAGGTTAACAAACTTACACAATTTCAATGTTAGTAAAATTATATAATTTAACAGAAATATATAATACCTCTTCATCAATAAGAATCATATCAAGACTAATCAGCTCGTTGTCAATTCTGAAATTAAAACATTTCCACAATCTAGAAACCCTGACAATCAATACCCAATCATCTCGCAATTGAATAATATCTTTAAACAAAATATTTGAAATTGTCATAACTATCCTACAAAGATATTAATCCAAAGAATCAAAATCTATGCAAAAATCAATTAATCCCCCAAACACATGACTCTTGAATATATAAGAGACATACAATGCGTCTCTTAATATTCATGGAAATCAATAACACACACGTGAATCATTAGTAATTTATCAAATTAAAAGAGGAATGTGAAAGATCTCAAATTGAAAGAGGAATGTGAAAGATATGTATTGAATACATTAATTGAATGCATGTGAATAATTTCTATTATAACAATCTCTTAATATTCATGGAAATCAATAACACACACGTAAATCATTGGTAATTTATCAAATTAAAAAAGGAATGTGAAAGATTTGTATTAAATACATTAATTGAATGCATGTGAATAATCCCTATTATAGCAAGCCCAATAAACAGCAAATATGTGGACCAATTAACGACATCCTACATGGCGGTCATATATCAATCCTATGTGGCGTTAGAAGAAGCAGTCTGCTTCAGCATTATATAGATATATAGATAGATTCTATATATAAAATTTTTAATTTTCTTATTATATATGAATTATTTTTTTTATCTGCATTCTCTTTTTATGTAATCAAATATTCAAAAGAAAAAAAGAGAAGCAAATATAAAGTAATAAATATTTAATTTAATACCTTTAATCTCAATATCATTAAAGAGTAAATCTACTATAATTTTCATTTAGGATGTCAAATTTTTGTATATATTGTTAATAACATTTTATTATAAATTTATAATCTCTAAATAAGAACAAAATCTACCATTTATTAGATATAATATATCATTTATTCATCAAACTAATAAAATTTTATCAGTAAATAATTATTTTAAAAGTTATTAATAACATAGATCGTTAAATGTAAGTAAACTTTTTCTTCAAATAAAACACTTAATGTCATAATTTTTGTGTTTAGTATTACAAATTTAACATTTCAAATTTCAAATTACATAAAACCGTTGAGAAATCAAAAATAAAAAAATCAGAGTTGAAATTTCAAAGGTGCAAGTTTAAGTTATTTATTTTATATGTTATGTAATTTCGTAATTTTAATTTTAGAATTTGTAATTTAGAATTTGTGATTTCTCAATGGTTTATTGTAATTTCTAATTTGAATTTTTCAGTTTCCATAAAGTTGAATTGGAGGTGGAGGCTGTATCTGTAATTTTTGTTAGGGGGTGTATTTGTAATTTTTTAAGGTTTTTTTTACCTTTGTTTAACTTGTTTGGTGTAAAATGTAATTTTGCCGGCTAACCGAAACTAGAGCCTATGTTTCAGGTTTCTAGGAACCGGAACCAACTGCTTATGGTTTTGGTTTTGGTTCCAAATCTTAGGAATCAACCAGTTCTGATTTCAGTTCCTTCATAAAAGGGTGACTTTAGGTTCAATTCCTCTTCTTTGTTTAAAGCGCTTTCCTTTAATATGTTGTTAACAAAACAATTTTCCATTTTCATGGTAGGTGTGTCAAAGAAGTAGAGGAAATACCAGTGATCCCCATCTAAATATCAGCCTCAAAAACCGGAGCAATCATTTTGTGTCAAATGGTAAGTATCATGTGATTATACCGAATGATTATGACTGGAACAAGCATTTGAAGGATAACGTTTAATCATCTCTTTCATAGCTTAATTCATTGTAATGGGTTTGTTTGGCCATTTGCTCTGCACTAATAGGATTGAAGGAGGTTGTAAGTATTTTTGTGGAAGAGAAATCATGGACCTCTGGGACCGAATTTGTACAATTCTTCAGGCCAGGTAATCTAAACTCCCTTATTGGTTTTCTGTGTTTGTGAACATTAACAAATGCTAGTTATGGCAGGAAAATCACTGTTGCAGATGTGTCAAAGAAGAAGTCCGTGGATCTTCTCCTACTCCATGGAGTTGCATATGAGCATCCATGGTTTGGTAGATGGGGATACAGATTCTACCATGGAAGAGTTGCAGAGCACAACTACAATAGAGCAATTGAAATCTTTAGCTCTTTGGAACTTGATAAAATCATGCAAGATTTCGTGACAACAATAAGTGGAGACAAATTAAGCAAATAATTCACTGCTACAGAGATATGAGTGAAACCCAACTGATTACACTGAAAGATCTTTTTAGGTTTATGTTAACTTTCAATTCTGGAAGAAATCAAGTATTCGACTGACAATTAAATGTAAGGAGTAAGGTTGAATTTTTGTATGATACAAATAGTTAAAGTTGAATTTTTGTATCATGCAAGATTTCGTGACACCAATAAGTGGAACAATGTTGGACTGTTCAAGCAAATGCAAGTCTAAATGGAATGCAATTCAGTTATATTTTACTTATAATTGAATTAGGTAATTGTTGGAGATAGATAAATCTTTATGTACAAATATTAGATCTTTTTTCATTAAAATTTTTATCAATCAGGGCAGCTACAACAATATTCAATCTTACAGGAGAAAGCAATGGATCATTATAAGATCTATTCACTAGAAACTCATGATAAGATCACCAATTTCTTCTGCAATAGTTGTTCTTTAATGCTATATTGCTTTGAAAAAATGAAAAAAACAAAAACAAAAGCACAAGATACATTTGCTTTTATATTTGGCTATGGAGTTATGAAGGATATCTGCCTGACAAAGCCTGCTGGTAATCAATCTGTACAACTTTTGCTGGGGTGCAAAGAATAGAAAAACTACAGTGTTGAGTGTTTCTTTTCTACTGCCTCTTTTAAGTTTTCGTCTCAATGCAAATGCCAAGGGCGGGGGCACAAAAATTCCAATATGCCTATGCTTGTATTGGATGTTGCCTGCAAATTTGTAGCTATACGAGAAACCCTGCACGAACAAGAAGATCAAGGAACGTTCAATGATAGCCATTGGCAAAATAGCAAAGAACAATAATCCAATGACTTTGCTAACGAGCTGGTGCTTCAAATAACTCATCTTGATATTGAGAAGTTACTGCAGAACTCATGGTGTGTTTGGAACATCAGAAAGTTGAGTAGACTTACTTGTGAACGAGCACATTTGCATACTCTGAGTATTCTGTCCTGATCCGGGTAAATTCACATTCAAATTTTGCCCATCTGTTGAGGATCGATCAGTAATGGAGGTTGGAAAGTGTCCTCATGGCACTTATATTGGTTTTTGAAGGTAATGTGCGTGCATTACCTTTTCTAATTCCCTTGTTTTGAGTATCTGTGATGGTGTTGGAGCAGTCTCTAGTTCTTAATCTTTCTGGATTTTAGTACAGCAGTGCATCATATATCCAATTATCTAAACTGCAGTTACAACTTCAATCTCTGATGGAGACCTTGAGTGCAACAGAACCTCACTACATCAGATGTGTAAAGCCAAATAATGTTCTAAAGCCTGCTATTTTTGAGAATTTCAATGTCATTCAACAATTACGCTGTGGTGTGAGTACATTGTGCTTAATGCATGCCTTCAACTGCTTTATAATAACCTGCCAAACCTTTTATGAGACTTTAGTTTGATTTTGCTTGTTCAAATTTATAGCTTTTCTCATCTCTTAAATTTATAGCTGTTCAAATTTATAGCTTTTCAAATTTATAGCTTGTTCAAATTTATAGCTTTCCCTTACACCTTTTAGGGTCTTCTTAAGGCAATTAGGATCAGTTGTGTGGATTATCCTACCAGGCGTACCTTTTATGAGTTCCTGAATTGTTTCGGTTTACTTAATCCTGAAGTTTTGAATTTGCATAGCAGCCATCAAACGTGAATTTGCATTAGAATCAACAATAATTTTGTATGTAGAGCTCAATTCGAACACCCAATTCCTATCAAACCAGAAAAATGATACACATATAAACTCATAATTTTGTATGTAGAGTTCATACTCATAATATTATTCTGAATGAAAACATTATTGAAATCAGAGGTCATATGCGTCCAGTAATATTATCAAGCCAGACAAAAAAAAGGTAACATTTACCAAATCTTTAGTATCACAATTTATATATTATCCCTAATTTCATATAAAATGTTGCAGGCATGGATGCACTGCTCATTATAGGACTAATTGTTGGCAATGTTACATCCACACTAGCCAAGACATCATTAGCTCCTTCGCACACTCCATCCTTTTTCGCAGCCCTTTTCTTAGATCTTCCTGAAACAAATTAACAATAGGTTACGTTTATCTTACAAAGGTGTGATTACATCTTAATGTAGTTTACCTTTTAATGAAGAGCACAAAAGAATAATGGTATGTTTACCATTGTTTCCACATTTTTTCTTGTCTCGTCATCAAGATCGTTGTTGCTGCTGCTTCTTCTTCTGATGCTGTATCCTCCTCCTCCTCTTCTCCTGCATTATATTCACTGTCATCACTATCTTCTTTGTTAGATTCACTGTTGCTCTGATCATCAGAAACATCAACACCAACAATGTCATCATCCTCCATCTTCACCTCTTTGTCCATGCCCACAAAATCACTAGATTTTATCTTCTCACACACATATCTCCCAAAAATCATAATGTCGAATTTATGATCGACATCATAGTTAAAAACTAAAAAATCCCCACACTCCACACAATTATCTTTGACATAATTTTGCCAACCATGTTGAAAAAATACTTCACTACGAATATATCCCAGACTCATAGGCCATAACTTTCCTTGTCAACAACTTTTTTACCTGCAAAATTGGTGACAGTTATTTCATATTCTTCGCCAACCTTGACTTCAGTCAAACCCACTGGCTTGGCCTCTAGGCAGAGTACCCGATCCCTCAACATTCTACCTGAGAGGGAGGAATTCAAAATATCCTATATTAGGATGCACAACATAAGTAGCCGACTCAGGAGGCAAACTTGGATTGACATTTGCTCCAATCCAACCTTCAGAAGAACCATAATCAGCACCATGCAGCTCCCCTGCTTAATGCCTCAACTTTTTCAGATACGGCTCCATTGACCCAGTTAATATCCCATAGACATACTTCGCATTAGGAAAAAGTGTTGGTATTAATCCATACCAATTACTCAATCTTGAGCATCTTTTATGAATCAAATCAGCCAATTTGGGATTTGGCTTCAGTATTTTGGACATTGCTGCTCGAATTGAAGGGACAGTGACTCGACTTGAGAGGACACCTTCTCCGTATGTCAGCACATACCTCTTCCCAAACTAGTTCAAATGTCTGAAAGGCATGCACAATAATGTGGGCAAAGGTTGAAGACACAAGTTGAATTTCTTTGCAAAAGATTAGGCCACATAGGAGATGGCAATACAAGGATTGCTGGTAATCAGGCAATACAAGGATTGCTGGTAATCAGGCAATACAAGGATTGCTGATAATCAGGACCAAATATTACTTCATCAGGGCTGCAAGACTGGGACTGCATTTCCTTCATCCCACTCTTAAACTGTGGATTGCGGTAGACATTTGTAGTATAGTTCCTGCACTTAGACCCCCTTTTGTTATGAACTGCCTGCTGCTATATATAAACTGTAAGGCTTTCCTATTTCCAATAGGAAACTCTCTGCAGGTCATAAAGTATTTTCATTAAGCCAGGGTGTACTTTCAATCACACAAAATAAGAAACAGGGCAGAACTTCTCACGTTTAACAACCCATGGGTGACTAACCCAAAATTAATATAGTTCATCAAAGCACAGTCCATCTCTAGCAAACAACTAAAACACTTTTGTAACACCAGGTTAATCGGTAACTGAGTATGGCGCTAGCATGAGAAATTTGAGTTAGAAATTTAGGTTTACAAGCTAAAAGAAAATCAGATCAAATCCCATTCAACGTCTAAGATGGCAAGTAATAAAGTGTTATTTTTGGTCATGATCATCCATGCCTATGCTTTATCATTTGGTCTCAGTCTCACCACGCTTATAGCATTACTCAAGTATTTTTAGGGTTCAAACAGAAGAATGTAGATGATACTTGGTGTGGCAGACTGTAAAATGACAGCTATTTTGAACAATTGCTACAAAAACAAAAAATTGAAGATGAAATTACCAGCTTCTTGGCTTCAAGGGTTGCTGGAAGGACAACTTTGAAGAACTGTGTTGGCTTCGTCTTCACAGGCTTGGACATGGAGATCTGTGTTCAATCGGTGAAAAACTAAACTTGACTGGAGATATCCCTGCTAGGAAGATCTAGAGAGGATCCCGGATGCTTTTGTCGAACACTTCAATGGATTTCCACCACTGCAGGTAGGAGGGTTCCCAGACACCATAACAGTCCTCAAGCGAATGAGAAGGAGCAGTTCCCAAATTCAGGTCAAGATTCTCATTCACCACTGTTTGAGAAATCATTAAGAGTTCTCATTAAAGTTCTACTAACACACAATTAAAGATAAATTATTAACCACTGAAACCAAGTAATACCAGTGCCAGTGTCAACAGTCATCTCTTCCTCATACAAGCTTGGTGAAAATTTGGTGACCGCATCATTTTCATTGAACTTCAAGGCTGCCCTGATTTCTAAAGTAATAAAACATCAGATTTACAAGAAAATAAAATTTAGACATAAACCATAAGGAGAAGTTGATTTCAAAATCATCTAGACCTCGCCGCTTCAATCTGGGTGTCGAACAGCCGAAGATATACATACCCACAAAGCAAGAGATGATTTCCATGCTCTTAGTTCATTTCACAACTTTAAAGCAAGTGAAAATAAATTGAAATGACCTCCAAATATTATCAAAACAGAATAATAAATTAAGAATAACTAGAGAAATGCATCAACAAGAGTAGATTAGAGTAAAGAGTATCTTACTTCCTGCCCAAAAACTGCCCCATTCGAGCTTCCCATAGCCCACATTTGTGTAGGGTCACTCCCTTGTACTTCGACGATCCTCGAGAAACGCCATTGCTGTTGCGGCGCAGAATGTACACAAATTCTTCTTTAATTTAGGGAGAAATGACGCGGATGGTGAACTAGTAGACGATGTGGCATATGCCACCTCATAATATGAGAAGTTGGTGTAACGACCCTACTAGATAAAATCACAAAACACTGAGGAGGCGTTTGGTTTAGGAATGTTAGATTACTAGAAATGTTGAATTATTGGAAAGATAAATTACCTTGGAAGATTACTGGAAATCTTTAAGAAAATATGTTTGGTTAGTTGGTGGGTATGTTATATTAATATGTTTGGTTATGGGGAATAAATTGGTGGGTATGTTATTTAAATTATTAAATTGTCCTCCTTTTAAATATTAATATAATACTATTTTTATTATTAATTTTTGAATAATTTCTTTTAACCCCCAATATTTTAGATTTAGCTAAAACACCCCCGCTTATATAAAACTTTAATTTATGATGAAATCACCCCCACCTCCTGCCGCCAGATCTGGCCTGATATGGCCGTTTTCGGCCATCAATATGGCCGAAAACGACCATATCGGAGCCTCCCGGAGCCTCCCACAGAATTTTCTTCTTTTTTAGGGACTCTGGCGATTTTCCGGCGGTGGTCTGTGGTGGTTGGCCCACTGTCAACGGTGGTGGCCGGGTGGCAGTGGTGGTGGTGGTTGGGTGACAGTGGTGATCTGTAAATAATTTTAAATATAAGGGCATTATTGTCCAAAATTTTAATTAAACAAGGGTAAAATTGAAATAGGATATTAATGTAAATTTGTTTTAAAGTAGGGGTATTATTGTCCAAAACTTTTATTAATAAGGGATAAAATTGTAACAAAAAAAAATAACTCTGGTAATCTCAGAATACCTAAGAAAATGGAGGTAATCAGATTACCTCATATATTACCAATAGTAACTACTATTGGTATTTAAAAATTACCGATATCTTATATTACTTGATCAAGTAATATAAGATGACATTACCCTAGTAATCCCACTTAACCCCCAACCAAACGCCAATTTGTATCTTATCTATGAAAATAAAGATATATTGACAAACATTTTTCACAAACTTTTCACACAAATATTGATGTGTCAGCTCGCAATTGATCGGTTCGCATTTAAGTAGGTAGGATCTATTGCAAGTTGACCAATTACAAGTTAATACGTTACGTTTGTGTAAGAAATGTCTGTAAGTGTAGTATTACTACTTACTTATATAACTTTCTTAACTCACTCATTTTCTCACTTTCGTTAGCACCTTGATCTCGGACGCCGGTCAGCCAATAAGCCCCGTACCTCCAATTGCAATACTCATCTAATTTCAATGTCAAAATTTTGTTGTTGTGTTAATCTGTTTAATTTATCCTGGGTATTATTGTGATTGTTTTGTGCTTATGTGAGTTTGAAAAGATTAGATAGAAATAATGCGTTAAGTCTTTGAATTTGTATATCCAGAAAAGAAGAAAAACTTCATCAATTGAACTTGTAATTGTGCATATGAGATTGAATATAGACTAATTTTGTTATCGAGAAAAGAAGAAAAAGCATTATCATTTCAAGTTCTAGAAACACATACGTTTATGAGATTGGCAATTTTTCATTTGTTCATTATGTTTTCTGAAAATAAATTAATTTTAAAGTTACATATGACGGGCAAAGATATTATAGTGAAGATGGAAGTGATGATTTTTTTCCCCCAGAAGATCGACAATGATCAGAATTAGGAGCTTGAAGCTACCAAGAAGAAGAACGCTGAGAGCAGGGCCCTGTTTTTCAATGGGCCAAGCTCTACGCAAAGGAGTACACAGAGCAGGTTCTCGCTGCATTCTTTCTCACTATTATTTGTTTGATTTCTCCATTATGATTTTTTTTAGTGACTTAGATTCTTTTGATTATACAGGAAAAAGAGCTAATCGAATTGAAACGTGAAGCTAAATTGAAGGCAGGGTTCTATGTTGACCCAAAGCTAAGGATCCGTTTGATTCACTATTTTGACAGTTTTTAAAATGATTTTTTGGAAAAAAGTTGAGTTTAATAGACTTCGTTTGGTTGGATTTTGGGAATACTACTTTTAGTATTCCCAAAAAAGTTAAACAGTAAAATACCGAAAAACTCACAATATTATTCAACTTTATTCAACATTTTTTAAACCCCCTAAATTTGTTAATTCAATTAAATACCCCTAAATATTTTTAATATTTTTGTTACGGCGACTCCGGCCACCCTCCGGCGGTAGTGGACGGCTGTCCGTATTTGAGGGTGGATTGAGGGTGTTTTTGTTAATTTTTAATATTTCATTATAAGGGGTGTTTTGTAAAAAAACAAACATAAGGGGTATTTTAAAATTTGTAAATCCTACATCGTAATACCCGCCCAATTCAACTTTTTTTTTAACTTTTTTCAGAAAACTTTTCCCAAAAACACAAAATTGTGAACCAAACGGAGCCATAGTATTCTGAAAAGTTTTTGGGACATTTTTTAATAGCATTTTCTGAAAATATTTAAATTATTTTTAACTTCTTAGGTTTGTTAATTTAACCAAACAACCCCAACAATAAAAGTTTATAAATTGACAAACACTCCCATCCACCCACATTTGTCAGATTCCGATCACCACCACCAAAAGATGGATGAAATCTACCGTAATAACACACTATCGATTGGATCTGGATAGTAATGCGTCGATCTGGTATTTCCCAACTAGATCCATCGTAGATTTGGTTGGAAAAAGCTAGATCTATGGTCACAGATCTAACTGTCGACGGTAAAATCCACGATTATAATTCATTGATGATATAGTGTATCTCAAAAATGTTAGCCTTGATAGATGTCTGGTGATACAGTCAATGGCAATAAAGAGTTTTTGTTATATATAATATCAAATAGGACTAAGAACAATAATGTTAAGGCCAAAAATTGTCCTTGGCCCAAATAGGAAAACAGGCCCGACACTGAAGAAGAAGCCAAGCCCAATCCCGATATGATCCAACCGGATTAGGCCCTTTTGATACGAGATATAGCCGGCCCAAACCACGTGGGCGCGAGCCTCTTAATCCTAGTCCATTTCCTAGGTCCATGGGCGAATCCAGAGCCCATAGCCCCCTCAGAGTACTTTCCTACTCCTAATCAATCTCCTATTCAAGGTCGCCTTCCTATTCCTGATCACTTTCCTACTCGGAGTTACTCTTCTAATCAGAATCACCTTCCTACCCGGACACTGGTAAGACAGCTTACCACAGCCCTGATTCTTCTAGGGTTTGCATTGTAGTCATACTAGGACCCCTACTTCTACTAGGATTGGGAGACCAGACGACCACTATATAAGCAGAGGCCAGTCCTCTCACAAGAGAGGGGACATTACACCTTCACATCTGAAGCTCTTACTTGAGAGCTTCGCTTCATTGCCGTAGTCACAGTCCCCGACTAGACTTCCGATAATCTCTCACTCCCTAGCCCTCACTATATTAGCCTTTCAGCCTTGCTGACTTGAGCGTCGGAGTGCCTATGGCAAACACCACCCCGGTGTTTCCCGTTCGCTTCACGTGTGTTTCTCTACGTGTGTAGGTACAGCAGATCGTTAGTGGCCTCAACCTCACGGGATCAGACCCCCCCTTCCATACATGTAGATTTTTACGTCTACAAATAACAAGAAAATAAAAACAATACAAAATATATGAATTACAGAACATTAATGGAGCATGAATTATTCAATCAAAAAGAAGAGAGAAACATAAAAATTGAGAGATGAAGCCGGTAGTATGACTGATAATGTTTATTGACTGAAAATTATAAACAAACGTCATACATTCACACCTCTTTTTCAAAGTGATGTGATATTTTATTTTATACTGTAATAATTTATATATCAACCCACACCACCTCATAACTGTCATAACTGATGGAAACATGTTTTTGATTATTTCAATGGTTTTGACTAAGAGGGACTAGTAGTTCAATACCTAAAAACGGAAGATTCCAAAAAATCTTTGAACAATTATGAATATTGTTTTAAAGACACCATCTCACAAATCCACCTAAATCATTGGAGAACTTGCCTGAAATAAAAGAACATTTCAAGTGGTGTATTTGCATAAGTAGAACAGGTTTTATTTATATTTATAGTACCTTATCCACGCCATGCAAGAAAAATAACAACTCAAACTAGCTGAGCTTCATAACATTTCAGGAATTTTAAACTGAAAACTCATAGAAGAAATTAACCAACAGATTACGCCACAGCTACTCAAGCTTCATGTAAATATTTCCCAAATATTCTGATCCCTTTCTTCACTTCAATTGTGCAGTTCACTGAACCAGCTTCATCTTGCTGCCGAGAAAGAATGACTTCATCCCCAACTTTTAAGACCTTTATTGCCAACAAAATTAAGCCAATCACCAGTTATCGCGGGCTTTGGATGTTTACCTTTGTTTCGAGTGGCCAAACGAAACTCGTATTGCTTTTGGTCTGAGTCCATCACCATAAATTGAACACATTTAACATCTTCTTCTTCTGGGAAGAAATGCTGAAAGGCGTCCATTGGCAAAGCCAATCTATACTTTGTATCAGTGGTGGATAAAACCTTTGAGAAGATCACCTCCGCCATCAGTAATCAACAGAAATTAAGCGGATAGGTGATATTTCTATTCTGTTCTTTGGCCTTTTTATAGGCTGAACATCAAATGATCTTTACCCTACCAATTAAGAGTGTGTTTGTTTTATGTAATTGAAACAAACGACTTTTGCTAGAGCAAAAAATTCAACAAAAACTGACAATTGACAAAAAGTCTTCTTTGAAAACTGTCAGGGCCACAAAATAAGCTTGCAAAAGGTTTCTAATGATCTATGGAATAAGAAATGAGAATGTTTGGTAGGTCATTGGTCAATACAGAAGATTGTCAATGGTAATGTCAGATAAATTAAGTTAGGGTTTTTCATGTTTCCAACTTGTACTGTTTATTATTAAATTAAGGTACAAGCACCGTTGATCTTTTTTGTTTGCTTATTGGAATCAGACCATTAATGCATG